GGCTTGGATGAGGGAGAGGCTGAGCTGCTGGAGTCTTTGGAGGACCCTGCTGAGGTTCGTTTGGAAGCAGGAGATGCAGCTGAGCTTTGACTTTCTTTATTCTTTGTGGACTTAGTTGAAGAGTCGCTTTCACCATTGGGGTCTGCGTCTGCTGCTGCAGCGTCTGCTGCATCATCGTTAATTTCATCAACAGTGACAAAGTCGTCTACATTGAAATCACCAAAAGGGCGGCTCTCTGAAGAAACTTTCTTCTCTAAATTATCAACTTGAACCTAGATGGAAAAACCAAAAACAGTCTGTGGAGCCATGAAACAGCTTACACTATAATCAGAGTGTAACTATCAACGAATGTCCCTCTGTCCACAAAAACCTCCTATATGACCAGTAACCACATGACCAATTTTCTCAGTGTGATTAAGTGTTTGAGTTAGCCCAGCCGCCCACCCCCACCACCCACAAGAGAAATCCTCGTGGGTCTGATGAACGTTTACCTTTCTGTTTGGTGCGTCTTCATCCTGTGCCCTACTAGGGCTGCTGATTTTGCTCTGGAAATGAAGATAAGATAAGAAAAAAAGATTAACTGAATTAATTTCGTATTATTCTGTGCTGGTTTTGACAAACACCTAAAATATAGCCTGAAAGGTGTTTAGTGAGTGGTGACGCCAAAAATTGGACATGCACAAGCTTGCAAAAAATAAATAAGACTATATGTAGTGATGACCTTCGCTTTAATTTATCTGTTCCAGAAATAATGCAAATCTAAAAATGGTATCTTCCTCATTAGTATAGTGGACAGTATCTCCGCCTGTCACAATGGGGAGTGAGTAGTCTCCTTCTCTGCTCTGCCTTCGGCTGATCAGGTGTCGCAGACGTAAACTGCCAGTCTACTATCACATGTGAAATACAGACATCGAAACCACTTTCCCCGTGATTGGAAGGTCGGGGGTTCAAATCCACTGAACGGCTACCCTGAGGTAACCCTGAGCAAGGTACCATCCCTACACATGGTACGCCTGCTTAGTGGCTGCCCACTGCTTCACTGAGTGAACGGGTCAAATGCAAAGAGAGTAATTTCCCCAGGGGGATCAATAAAGTATACATTATTGTTATTATTATCAGCATTAATTATTCATACAGCCTGCAGCTTTACCGCAACAATCGACAGTGTACTACTATACAATGCTCACATGTAATCTCCAACATAAGGCTTTTAGTGTCTTAAGATATTTTGGGACAACACAGTGAAATTTAAAGTGTTACCTCTCTGTCCTTGCTCTGTGCCCTACTTTCTCGACTCTGTCTATGCTCACGAAGCGCCGCTGTAATGGCCATGAAAACGTCCTCGTTGATGTGAGGAAGTTTTGAGTCTTTTTCCTCAGACTTGACTGGGCTTGTTGCTGAAGGAGCAGCGCTAGAAGCGGCGGGGGCGGCGTTTGCATCAGGAGTAGTGACCAAAGTTTG